TGGGGAATTCTGGGAGTTGAAGTCCACACATCTTAAAGCTGCCAAGGTTGAGAAACATTGCGGTATGGTGACTTTCTTGAGCAGTGTTTCTCAGCCTTGTCAACTTGAAGACGTGCGGACTTCAACTCCCAGAATTCCCCAGCCAGCATGGGGAATTGCTTTGGCAAGCCTAATCAGTTTGATTAAAAAACAATGAATCCCCCTCCATTGCCCATGCCTCTTTTGGAGGTCGCTACTCACAACTGGAGCAGCCTTGCTCTGGAGGATTCAAATTTGGGCTCAGGGAGGAGGATTCTGCAGTTGAGAGCTCTGCCATCAAGCGTGCCATGCTTTTAAGTATCCTCGCTCTCTACCACAATGGCTGCGTTTGCACTACCCAACTGACTGACAGTTGACATAGCCGTTATTCTTACGTGTTGGTTACGGTAGCGTAGAATCAGACTAACTGGACAAATGTCACCGTTGGAGAACTCCAGAGCCTCCCTCCTCCAGGAGAATATTGGCAAAGCTTTATGCCTCACTGGTACCTTCTCCATTGGCCAATCCATATTAGGAAGTGTGTTTTTATGACGGCCAGAACTCTTCCAATGAGTTTTGTAATGAAGAGATTTGCCCTTTTTTTAGCCACTCTTTTACCTCCAACATTTTTTCTTGAAGGACTGATTAGGTGGGCTTTGAAACTGCTCCATAATTGACCAGCAAAGGATAGTTTAAACCAAACCTGGTGCTCTTGGGGGCTAAAACTTCCTTCTTCTGCCCCAGTTCACACAATCAGTGTGGCTCTCACTCTTCAAATGTTCCATAAGTCTCTAAAGTCTTGGCTCTCTTCCCAGGCCTGGGGTTTGGGCGTTTGTGATATTTTTGGTGTTATTTGTGTGTCTGGGTGTTCATGTTCTTCTTTTTATACAGCATTATGTATTTGTTTAAATCTGTAAGCAACCTAGTCTTTTTGGAGTCAGGCACCTCCGATAATACATACTTACAACAATATCCTTACCTTTCACTAGTTAAGCATGTTGTGAGAACCCAGCTGACCTGCAGGTGCTAAGCACAAGATCCCTTTGGATCAACCAAGGAGTTACCATGCTGGCATGGTCACTTGGAAATGCTTCAGGAACTCTAGTAGTCAGACCCAGTCCTTTGATGCTAATCTTGTACGCTGTCCAGAGTCACTTTGTGTGAGATGGTTGGCTATATAAATATGATAAAGAAATAAATATATCTGGCCCCATAGTGGTATGATTTACTGGATTCCATGAAAATCTCTGTGATCCTTCTCCCAAGTAACAGGACTAGCAAGTCACTATGACTTCAGTCTAATCATAATTCAGCTTAAGCATCCTCTCTCTGTCCAGCCCCTGTTCTTAATGAAACCCAAGCAAAGCACAAAGGGAGAAAAGGGAAGGGAGAAGAAGGAGGGGGGCATTATCAACTTCTCAACAGGGCCTTTGTGATAGATGCAAAGGGATGGGGTGGGATGGGCACCTCAGCCCCTGGATCAGCTCCTGTATAGGTGTGAAGAAATGTTCTTAGCTAAGAAAAATGATCAGACTCCTAAAAATAAAATAATAAAACAAATCACTCATTGCAAAATGTGTCATCCTAATTATGTAATCTATGTAATGAATGAATGAATTTAATTAAGTTAAGGTCAGCCTAGGCCAATCCTGCTATGCTGACTCATGGTGCTGGTGGTGGGTGTTCCTGGGAGGGATGAGTGAAAATCATTGGGAGTGTACTCCAAACAGGCTCTCCCAAGGCATGAGGGCCATCCCAGCTGCCTAGCTAAAGCAACCAGGCACCTATATTGAGAAGCAGCGATGTAGGAAGATGCTGGAGGCAGATGATCATTAGGCAGATGACCTTTGTGACTGTAGCAAAGGCATCAATTAAAACTGCGTGGGAGAAGGCAGTGGTAAACCACTCCTGTATTTTACCAAGAAAACCACATGGACAGAGAAGATGAAGTGATAGATGATATAGTGCCAGATGATGGGCCCCTCAGATTAGATGGCACTCAACATGCTACGGGGAAAGAACTGAATATGTTTATGACACAGATAGATTAAAGCTGTCCTGATGTCTATTTGTGGATGTTACCATGCAGGAAAAGAAAGTCTGAGGCTGCAAAGATAGAATTATGGTGGGAACATGGAACATAAGAAGTACAAATATGGAAAAGCTCAATGTGAAATGAATTGACTACAAACTGACAGCTTAGGAATCAGTGAATTGAATTGGACTGGAATTGCATACTTTCAGTTAGAAGATCACACAGTTTGTACTGCTTTCGTAATCAGGGAAGATATAGCAAGGACAATATTTGGTTATAATGCAGTCAGTGATCAAATAATATCAATTAGACTTCATAGACAACCCTTTAATATGGTGATTATCCAAGTTTATGGTCCCACCACTGATGCAAAAGAAGAGGTGATTGATGAGTTTTATGATCAAGTTCAATCTGAAATCAACAGAACATGCAAGCAAGATGTGCTGCTTGTGGTTGGAGACCGGAATGCCACAGTTGGAAATATTAAGGAGGAAAATGTAGTTGGAATGTATGGCCTAGGGAACAAATGAAGCAGGAGAACAAGCTATCAGTTTCTATCAATCCAGTGATTTCTTCATTGCTAACAGAATCTTCAAACAATCAAAATGACACCCGTATACATGGACATCACCAGATGGAGCACACAGAAATCAAATTGACTATATGATTGGCATAAGGAGGTGAAAGAGCTAAGTTATAACAGCAAAGGCGTGGCCAGGAGCTAACTGTAGAAGAGACCACAAACTGTTCATCTGCAAGTTCCAAGTCAAGCTAAAGCAGAATAACAAAGCCAGTCAGTTTCCAAGATAGGATCTTGAGCAGTGTCAGTCTTCAAGGCACGCCAGGTCAGAAAACAGACACTGCAAGATTATAGGAATGCTACTTTATTGTTGTAGGGTGATATAGCAGAATCTTGAAAGCCTGTCAGCTTTTCCTTCTGCTCTCTTTTATACCAAACAGAATCTTTCTTTTCCCTCAACAGGGTTTGCATGCCTTCATCAAGGTTATCTCCACATTCCTCTGAAAGCATATACTCGCCATTTTCAAGGAGAACATGAGGAATTGCTTTGAAATCATGAACTTCATTGATTGTGGAGATGGAGATGACTTTGAGGGAATATCAAAACAGAAGCATTCCTTAAGCCCTGGGAAAGGAGGTAGTATTAGGAAGAGATTCAGGCTGGCTCCTCCCTGACTCCTTGGGATATAAGAAGGAAGGGAGGAGAAACACAATCAGACTTGCAAGATTCTGTTAATATAGTTTATCTCATAAAAGCTTACTTCTAGTCTGCTTGTGAGGTCTGTTTTTTGGACAATCTTGAAGGGCAGACATTGATAGAGAACCAGAGGAACTGTGGAATTAAATCAGAGAAGTTCTTAAGGATGACTGTGAAAAGAGACTGGCAAAGACCAAGAAACAGAAGGAAGCAAACTGAATATCAGAACAAACAGTAGAAACTGAAGAGAAAAGAGAAGAGAAGAGAAGAGAAGAGAAGAGAAGAGAAGAGAAGAGAAGAGAAGAGAAGAGAAGAGAAGAGAAGAGAAGCCATAGTCAAGAAAGACAAAGAATCTTAGGCAGGTTAACAAAGCATTTCAGAAAGAAGCAGTATTACAGCAACATCTATAAAGACACTGAAGATGGAAACAGACATGGAAAAGAAAGTCTTCCAAAAGATCTCCCAACTCAGAAGGAGGCTCCATCCTCAAACTGGTGTGCTAAAGGACCCCAAGAAACAGGTGGTAATTGATTCAAAGAATACCCCTGCTTTACAGAGTTCCTCAGGGCTCTGCTCTCTCCATGCTCCTATTTAACAGTTATTATGTATTTATTTAAATGTGCAGGCCACCAAACTCCCAATGATTCTGTGTGGTTCACAAATAAAAAACATTAAAAACAAGAAAAAATATACTAATAGATGAAGAATATAATATGGCAAGGATGCTCCCCCCACAAACCCTCACACTTGCATGAAACCACTGGGAGAGGTCACCCACAGGCATGAGGTGAGGTATCATCAATATGTTCGTGATATTCAGTTGTACATCTCCATCCCTGGTTGACCAAATGGTGCTGCCAGCATTCTTTCTCAGGGTCTCAAGGCCGTGGGGGTCTGGATGGGGAAGAACAGGCTTAGATACAACTAAGTGGTTTGGGTTTTAGGGTACCCTGGTACTGGGAACCTTCCATCTTTAATTCTGGATGACATGGTTCCCCCCACCCCCCGGCAGAATTGGTGTGCAATTTGAGATTCTTCCTGGACTCTCAGCTCGTGCTTGAAGAGCAGGTGGCAGCCATGGCCAGGAGCGTCTTTGCAGAAATCAATGTGCACCAATTGCACCTGTCAAGCGGTCAAGAAATACGCTACAGTTGGTAGAGCAGCAATGAAGGTCTGGAATGGTTCTTCAGGTGCTGGGATGTGTTTGAATGACAAAGCTGAGGATCGTGCAAGTAGTGGTTTTCCCTATGACACTCTATGAAAGTTAAAAGTGGACTTTGCAGAAGCAGGATAGAAAGAGTATTTATGCTACTGAACTTCGGTGTTGGAGAAGACTCTTTAGAATACTATGAAAACAGAGGAGAAGAGGGTTAAGCTTCTCTTAATCCTGTGTTCTGGTGTTTGCGTTACACAACTGTGCAGATGAGGGTAGTTTAACCACAAAGAACTGCTTGAGGATAAAAGTAATCCTACTACCGACTGAGGTGTGTGTTTGGTTGACATGCCAGCCGAGGAAATAGCTTACGTGTGATTGCCTCTGTATGAGTATGTCCAGGACTCTGGCACTCCCTCCTGTCTCCAGCTCTACGAAGATGCATTTAGGTCCATAACAATCATGTTGAACAAAATGTGTCTATTACATGCTAAGTATATTGTCGAAGTACTGGAGCGTTGACAGTTTGTATTTCTTTTTCTTATAGGAACCCCGGATACAGAGACTTGTTTGTCGTTGGACATGGCTCTTGTAAGTTTTGCCCCCGATATGCCAATGCCTTGTGATAAAAGAAGAGATTTTCAGACATTTTGCTTTATTATTCCTTTACATACTAAGCATCTCTTTCCTTACTTTTGTTTAAACAGCACTTTAGCTGGCTGCTTGGCTTTGCGCCCTTTCTGGTTGTATAAAGTTGTTTCCAGTTGTCGCAAGGAGAAAAGACGGCATTGCCTGCTGGCAGCAGTGCTGGCCTGATTGCGTAAAAGCCTCCCCAGGATATAATCATTAGGGTAGACTAAAAACACTCTTGCTTGATTGCGGCCCCAAATTAGCCTTTGTAAATCAGACTTAACAAATGTGTCAATGCAGTGGCTTGTACTAATACATTTTCTAAACAGAATACATTAGTAGTGTGCGGCTGCGTGTGTAAAACTGATGGCCCTTGTTAGATCATGCAGCCCTCAAACAAATGTGGCCGTGGGAAAAAATGGCAGAAGTGGGTCATTCATCCCAGGTGGCAGCTTGATTGTTGCTTAGTAATTTAATTTCTCCAATATTTTGCCTAATTTCGTTTAGGACAACCCGTACATCAATTTTATTTTTAATTGGCCGATAGTGTCATGCTCCCCACAGCACATTTATTAACAGCAAGGGAAAAGCGTGAGGAGTTGGAGGGAGCAGAAGTGCCGTAGGTTCTGTTGACCAGCCCTGGGGATCAGTGGCCTCACAGCAGGGTACGGTCCAAAGGGTCCAGCGGCAGCTGTGACGGTGCAGTCAAAGGCCCACCTGGTTTTCATGTGATACGATGCGCCTAAAAACCAGGCCGAGCTTTGATCGCACCATCGTCTTGACTTTCTTGGCCATACCCAGTGGACACCCCGACTCACGGAGATCCCCAGCGTGTTGCCTTCTGCAGCAGAAACAAATGCGGTCAGTTGCCTACTCTCCCTGGGTGTGGCCTGTTTGGTTCTGGCGCTCCTCCCTGCCTGACTGGGGAGGAATCTACCAATCTTTCCCCTTGGGCGGGGTGGGGTGGGGTGCCAAGGGGCAGGGCTAACCCCAAGGGGCTCAGCATTCCCAGGGCAAAATACAGGGGCAGCTTTCAGAGGTCCTGGTGTTGACCGCTCCCCCCCCCCGCATTCCTTTCTGTGCAGCCAGTGGGCAAGGGAGGAATTTCTTCTCTTGGTGGTACTGAGGGTGGGGGTGTTCAGAGGTGCATCCTGCTGAGAAAGCCCCCAAACCAAGCAGATTTGGAAAGTGGATGTTATTCATTTTTTCCTGCTTTTTGTCCCATCATAGCTGAAGGATTAAGTGCTAAGGAAACTCTACCTTGCCACCCAAAACTTCATTAATTTAACTTTATTAATTTAGAAAACTTATATGGCTGCTTATCTTATACAAGATAATCCTAGGTGGCTCACAATAATGTTAAATAAAAACAGGATAAATAAAACAGACCAAACCCCACAGTGACATCAGCCGTGGTACCCCAACATCACATAAACTCTTCATACCCTTACATTGCTGGCCCAAAGCCTGGTGAAGAGTTGGGTCTTCACTGCCCTCCAGAAGGCTAAATGGGTGGGGGCCCTCTAAATTGTTCATAGGCCATAGGAGTGGTTATCTGGCACTTCCGTTTCAAAGTAGGCAACATCATGTTCCCTGTGACATGAGCTGCATGTCTTCCATGCTTCTCCAATCCTGCATTAAGACCCCTCAGTGGGCAACGGAGATGCCTACTTTACATGGTTTAATTTATTTCTGTTATTTTTGGAGAAGTTTCAGAACCTCACACCATTTTCACTTATACAGCTGCTTCAAGCCCTCCTTTGGTTATTTGCTGGGGTAGCTTCAGGTGTCACTGCATGCTCCTTCTTCCAGTCACATCCATGAAGGCTAGAAACTTTTTTTTAAAGTAAGTTGAGAATCCCAGGTTGATAAACACGTTTGCTAGTATTAAAAGACAGAACCTATACATGCTTGGCTGGAATGCTACGCTTGGCTTTAAAAACTGTGACAAAAATCCTTCACCTGGTGGAAATCTGTTCAGGCTTGAGAGAGCCTTTCTGGGTTCACTGAAGAGAGATCACCATAGTTCTGCCGCCATAACTATGAGTCCACGTAGAAGAACAAGGAAGATTCAGCTTCCTTCTGATCTCTTGCAGGGATGGCAGCTACTTTCAATATTCCATAAAACAGTTTAGGGAAATTTAATTCCCCTTGAAAGGAATGACTATTTTTTCTCTGAATACAGAATTTAAAAAAGAGATATTTAGATTGCTGAGTTCCAAAGGAACCTTATCTTAACATTCCTCTTTCAGAGAAGCAGTAAGACATATCCATTATTAAAACCTGCTGCTTGGACTGCTGGCTTTCCAAGCCATCTTACTTATTCTGAGGAGGGGCATCTTAATTTTTCATCTTTTCACTTTTTAAGGAGATAGGTTTTACTGTACTGCAAATGGTGCAGAAACAGAATGCAGCTGATGGCTTCGGTGTAATTTATTTATTTAAAACGTTAGCCGCTTTCCGTTAAAAAAATTGGAAGTAGTTAACAATAGAATTCATTAAAAGGGTCTCAGTTCTCATGTGCCTTCTACAGCAGCTCACCTCTGCTGTATTGGATTGAGAAAGTTTCTTTATGGCTCCTCCAGCAGAATAACTGCCTTTCTTTAAACCTGCCCTAGAACCCTTTCAAGACATTTCTGCCCTGGGATCAGTACAGGATCCTTCTTTTTAGGTACCTTGCTCTCTGCTTGTGTAAGTTTCAGAGATGAAAAATCTCTTCCCTGGTTCCCATTGTTGCTTGAACTGAGAGCCACCATCACTGATTGATTGATTATGTCCCATCAAGTCATTGTTGACTCTTAGCAATCACATGGATAGATTTTTCCCATGACAGTCTGTCCCTAACCTGGTTCTTCAGCTCTTCCAATGATGCCCCCTTCACCCCGATAACTAAGTCCCTCCACCTTGCTGTGGTTGTCCTCTTCTTCTCTTTCCTTCCACCTTCCCCAACATCAGAGCCTTCTCCAGAGAGTGAGATCTTCACATAAGGTGTCCAAAGTAGGATAATTTGAGCCTGCGTCATCACCCTACTTTTTAAAAAAACATTTTGAAACAGTTTCTCATATATGCAGTAGACTGAAGACTCCATTCTCTGGCCAAATAAATTTGGATAAACGGTTTTCTTCATTAGTTTATCCCTCCATTACCTGAATTAGGAGTTTTTAAATATCTCCAATTTGGGGGGGGGGTATTATTGTATCTATCTACCCTTTGAATACTTTTCCCAATGCATATTCCTGCTTACAGACTTATTTTAATCAAGATATATAACCTCCTTCCTTCTTAGACTTGGTGCCTCATTATCAGATCAGCAGCCTACAAAGTGGAGCTCTGGGTGACTAAATAGATGTCCAATAAAACCTTCAGATTGGCCCTCTAATTATCTCATGAGCTAATTTAGACAAGATGAAAAACATGCAAAATTGTGCATCCTTTGGAAATTAAAAACATACTTTGATGTAGATTGGAGCCATGGGAAAGTGATTATCTCTTTCCAGGAGTGCTAATTTCCAACAAAACATTTCCCTCCTGAAAATGTTATTTGCTCTGTGAGTTCAAATGAGTTCCATGTGGTTTTAGCTGAAAAGGATAAGAAGGCATTAGGATATTCCACATCATAATATCTAATTAAGCTTCCTTAGTGTCAGGTCACTGATTCATTTAGACCAGGGGTGTCTGCAGGATGTGGTGAAAAAAAAAAGTAAAAATGGCAGTTGCAAGGATGTGAACGATACCAGAGTGCCACTGTTTCCCCCAAGAGGTACCACGGAATGGTTCTGGGATTTCCTGCTTAGAAATCATGCCTTCTGTTACTGCGTAGGGGTTTCTCTCTCCATGGAAAAAGGAGCCAGATACTCATGGAAAAGAACACCAATATGTCCCACGAGTTGTATAAAATGTGCAGTGTTTGCAGGGCATTCTGCATGGCTGGAGGGTGGGGTTCAGCCCTTCAGCCTCACCCAGAACTGATGTTATAACATGGCGGCCCCATGACTGTCTCCAGGGGCCTAAGTCTGTACTCTGGCAAAATGGCAAGAAACAAAATTAAGAATCACAAGATAAGGCAAACAAGGCCACGGAGTAGAGATTCACACAGCCTCCTACTCAGAGCAGCCCAATGATTGTACTGGTTTGATATGATGGTGCTGCAGCTTTGATACAAATTAATGGACAGTCAACGTGTAACTATCGAAACCATGGGACGTGATGGTAGATAGGGTGGCATCACAATGCTCAGTGATGGATTTGAACTAAGTTGGGTCTATTTTTCCTGAATGTGAAGAAAGAGACCAAACAGTCTTGAGTGTTCTCTCAGTGTAAGCAAAACTGATACAGGGGAGCAATGTGGAGGCCATGCATGGGGGATATTTCATTCCTTGATTAATGGAAGTTCTTCCAAGACATTTCTAAGCTAGCAGGTTGGGAATGCTTTGTTTTCTTTCTTTCTTTCTTTCTTTCTTTCTTTCTTTCTTTCTTTCTTTCTTTCTTTCTTTCTTTCTTTCTTTCAGAGTTAGAGCTCCGTTTTTGCACTTGCATTTGAATCTGGAAATTTGAAGAACGTTTAGATCACCGGTGAGATACGTGCAAGCTTCTTCCTGTTACTGAAGATCCCAGGATTGGCCTCTCTATGCTCGCAGCCTGCTTTACCACAGGCCTCTTCTTCTTTTTATAATTTTTATTAAAGAAGTTTTAAAAAGGAAGATAACGCACAGGCTCCTTCTTCGGAGGGCAGATCTCATCTCTGCCTTTGTATTTTTGCAGGTCCCTATTTCTTATCTTATCTTGTCCTTTCTTAGCATATCTACCTATGACTTCTTGAATTTGGCTGGACGTGTCAATTCATATGTAGGTAGAATGAAGTAAGCAGTTTACCTAGTCACACATTTGTTTGCCTGGGAACACCTGAGAGAGCATGTTCAACATGACTGCAGGCAATATCATAGCAAAACTCTCTGATTCCC